TCAACACAATTAAAGGGATCAAATCCTGCACTCAGTGATGATGAGAACAAACATGTATACATATGCCTGTTTCATAAACCTATCTCATCAAAGTAAGGAACAGAAGCTGCTCTGTTGGAATTTTAATTTTTTTTTAAATTAAAAATCTTGTTTAGTTTTTTAAAAATGAAGGCCATGCAAATATTTCTATTGGTCAGATAAATATGATCCTATGTCCTTCCACGGATCTTTCTAAATCTGATTATGCAGACCAAATTCCCCAATTTAGAAATTATTGAAGAATTTGTAAACCAGAGATCTGAAAAGGTACTATTTTTATAGTGTTAGTGTTATGAAAGCATTTTTTGTTTGTTTGTTTATAACATGGAGAAAGGGAGAGAGGGTGCTCCATTATGGAACTAATAAAAGAAAATCCACCTGTAAAATTTTGCTTAAAATAGCATCAGCAGTAAAGAGAGTTTTGGTCGGTATGCCCCTGGATCAGATACAATGATTATAATGTCTGCTTGCTGTACAGTAGATGCTCAATCGGCGCTGGTTGAACGAAACAAGAAGGAAACAATAAAAGAAGGAATAGCGCATACAAAAGAAGAGGGTCTAGATCCCTGTGACAGAAAGTTACCACAAAGATGTGAAGATGGAGTATACAACTGTCTGCATGACTTTGGAAGAATCTTAGGAAACCTTTAAAAACATACATAATTCGTGATACTGTTCTTAAACATATTTAAAGAATTTCATACCTGCAAATGTCTTCATATTCAATATTTATCAAGTGATTACATTCCATATGTCTTATAGTCAATCAAGCATGTACTCTTTATTATTAAAGTGTAATTGCAGCTTCTGTTGCTATTTGTGGGTTTACTTCTGATACAAAGAAATGAGAACATTCCCTAGCAGTACTTTCCTATAGTAGAACTTTCTCTATAGTACTTGTGCTTGGTGAATAAGGAGCATGACTATGCCACTAAATGTGTGCATTGCTTCAAAATTTGAAAGTTTTATCATTAGTTTAAATTTCTTCCATTTGGTTTTGATACTCGTTTCTACTGGATCAAATATTAGTACTGGTTCTATTTTAAGAGCTAATTCATTCAAATTACTTTTGGTTGATTTTAGTACAATTGCTGAGTTCTAGAGACAAAGCAGAAGAATATAATACTTTATAATTTTATATTTGAAACTACAGGTGTGATTTTAAGGGGTACACTGAACTGGGCTCATTATACATTGGTTTGTAAGAGATTTCAAAGTTAATATCCCTGAGGATCACTTATTTTTTTAAATATTTTATTTTGAAATTTTATTTATTTTATTTTGTTTTTT